TGGGATATTTTGCATTCTTTTCTTCTTACTAAGGCTTCCAAATCGTGTATATTTTGCATTCACAGCATGTCCCAATTTGGCCTCACCACATTTCAAGTGTTCAGTAGCCACAAGTGACTTGTGGCTACCATACTGGACAGAGCAGGCCTAGGCAGTCCTTCTGCAAGCCACTGACACACTGAATATCAAGCTGAGAAAATTGCTTACATAGGAAGCTAAACAGAAAAATAATGCTTAATGAGAAAGCATCCAGGTGAAAGACCAATCTTTTCACCAGCATGACAAATGCAACTGTAGCAAATTAGTAAAAAATATTTCTAGAATACAAAATTCCCCCAGAGTTCAGAATCTCAGCTAATTAAAAATCGTAATGAAGTCTTTCTTCTTGGGGGTGATGAAAATGTTCTAAAAGCAATTATAGTGATGGCTGCATGACTCTGAACATACTAAACAACACTGAATTGAACACTTTTTTTTTTTTTTTTGAGACAGTCTTACTCCATCATCCAGGCTGGAGCGCAGTGATGCAATCTCAGCTAACTGCAACCTCCGCCTCCCAGGTTCAAGTGATTCTCCTGCCTCAGTCTCGCAAGTAGCTGGAATTACAGGTGCACGCCACCACGCCCAGTTAATTTTTGTATTTTTAGTAGAGACAAGTTCTCACCATGTTGGCCAGACTGGTCTCAAACTCCTGACCTCAAGTGATCCACCTGCCTTGGCCTCCCAAAGTGCTGGAAATACAAGCATCAGCCACCACACCTGGCCTAATCATTGAATCAAACATTTTTAATGGGTGAATTGTATGGTATGTGAACACCATCTCAACAAAGCTATTTTAAAATTTTATAAATAAATCAAAAGTAGAAGGATTCCCACTCCAAAAGTCTATCTAATTCGGGGCCGATGATGTTAAATGTACTTTAAAATAAAGAACAAGTTACACACACTAAATTCTTGACATAGCTATTCAAGGGCGTTGGCAGGATGTGAAAATTTGCAGTTCCAGCCCCTGTGGTTGTGAGAGTATCTTGACTCTATCTTGCTTGAGATAAATGTCTTGTGATTACAGTGGGTATGCTCATGGACAGAAATGTTATCTTCCTAAAAGGCCCACTGATGGGATTTGTTGGTTAATTGTGAGGTGGATTCCAAGGGAAAGAATGGTTTTTATTTGAATCCTATCCCTCACTGCCCACCTCCCCCACCACCCTGAATCCTCATACTTTCTATGAGTAGATGTTACCAAAGCAAACAACTTTCTCCAATAGTCCATACCTTTTTATATTATGGCACTAACTTTTCCCCCAACACAATCACAATGTACTAATTTTTTTTTTTGGTTTTTGAGACGGAGTCTCAGTCTATCGCCCAGGCTGGAGTGCAGTGACATGATCTTGGCTCACTGCAACCTCCACCTCCCAGGTTCAAGTGGTTCTCCTGCCTCAGCCTCTTGAGTAGCTGGGATTACAGGTGCATACCACCATGTCCAGCTAATTTTTGTATTTTTAGTAGAGACGGGGGTTTCACCATGTTGGCCAGGCTGGTCTTTAACTCCTGACCTCAAGTAATCCACCTTCCTCGTTCTCCCGAAGTGCTAAAACTATAGACGTGAGCCATTGCACCGGGCCTAATTTCCTATTCTTAATAGAAACTTACTGCAGGCATGTTAGAGAAACTTAAGCAGCAACTACCATGAAGGGGAAAAGAAGACCATTTGATTCATTCAGAATGGTAGCATTATCTAAGCCGGAGTGACTTCCTCCTGGTCTATCAATTCCACAGGACGGATAAGCTTCCCCAACTCTTGCACGGTTTGACAAGCTATAAAAAGCTCCTAAGTTTACTTTCAATTTCTCCCTCAGTTCAGTGGGAAATATTATAGCAAGGGCTACAGTCAAAGGATTTTTTGTTTGTTTGTTTGTTTGTTTAAATAAAGAGAACCTCTAATCCATGAGCTGCAGTAGAAAGTTAATTCTGACCTTGAAATTAGACGACCAGTTCAGTTGTTAATTAGTTGTAATGGGTCTTGGGCATGACTCACAAATTTTTTGCAAGAGGTTGCTGTATAGAGCAAATGAGATGAGAAATGTCAGATCCAGTTTTCTCCTCTATAACTAATGCTAATTCCTCCTCACAGGGAATGTGTTGATAATTACCAGAGAATGGATGTGAAATCACTTTACAAACAGCAGCACAATGAGTGGATCAATATCGTTCCTGTGAGCTAGGAGACAGTATACAGTGGACACATGGGGGCCTGGCCCCCTTGGCTGCACCTGTTCATGGATATTCCATTTTTTTTTCTTTAAGGGTATATTGGAAAAGAGAGGCAATAAGAGTGTAGGATTCACAGGCCTCATCAAATCCCCTGGAGATAGATTAGTCATCTGTGCTCTCCAGCGTTACCCACACATCCCCAAATTTCCATTTCTTTGTGCTCGGTAGACACAATCTTACGCCACATCTTTACTTGGGTTTGACTAATAGTAAAAATATACCACCATCAAATTCATATGTTGAAGTTCTAACCCACAGAATCCCACAATGTGAAATTGTTCAGAAATAGGGTCACTGCAGATACAGTTAGTTAAGATGAGGCCATTAGGGTGGCCTTGATCCAATGTCTGGTAACCTTCTAAGAAGACGGTATTAAGACACGGATGCATGGAGGAAAGACCATGTGCAGACAAGGGAGAAGGTGCCATCTATAAGCCAAGGAGAGAGTCCTCAGAATGCGACCGACCCTGCCAGCACCTTGATCTTGGACTCCCATTTTCAGAACTGTGAGGAAATAAACTTCTGTTGTTTAAGCTACTCAGTCCGTGGTACTTTGTTATGGCAACCTGAGCAAACCATTAGAGTAACCTGAAATGGTTTTGAATATGCTCAGTAAAAGAAAGCCAAAAGCCTAGCTGACTTGATCAGCTAAACCAAGGGGCTAGATAAACACTTTTTACAAGACAGGAAGAATGTTGTCGAATAATATCTGGCATTGCGTGGAGGTATGAGGAAATGGTGTCACGACTCTTCACATCACAGCCTCGTGCTGCAGTCACTCACACGTGCAGCCAGTCAGGGACATCTATTTCCCTGCACGCTCACATGTGGGCACAGGCCCTTGAGCCCGATACCAAGAGCCTTTTTTCGGAAACACCCTAGTTTGTCAGTTTCTCCCTTGTCTCTTTCTATGGTTTCCTTTTCTAACAAAGAGCTAAACCTATGAGGTCATGGTATAAATGCTAGTATTCTATACAATTTCATAATGAATTATTTTCTTCCTTTCTTTCCCTTTCTTTCTTTCCTTTCTCTCTCTTTCTCTCTTCCTCTCTTTCTTTCTTTCTGACAGAGTCTTGCACTGTCACCCGGGCTGGAGTACAGTGGTGTGATCTCAGCTCACTGCAACCTCTGCCTCCCAGGTTCAAGCAATTGAGCCTCAGCCTCCTAAGTAGCTGGGATGACAGGTGCGTGCCACCACACCAGGCTAATTTTTTTTGTAATTTTAGTAGAGATGGGGTTTCACTATGTTGGCCAGGGTGGTTTCGAACTCCTGACCTCATGATCCGCCTGCCTTGGCCTCCCAAAGTGCTGGGATTACAGGTGTGAGCCATCACGCCCGGTCTTCTTCATTTCTTTCTAACAAATACTGTGCAAGGAAAGTTTTTGTTTTCATTCTAGTTTTCCTTAATGAATCTTAGTGGGAAATTCACGTTTCTGGGAAATTTTGAAAACATAAAGACTTACGTATCTCTGGTTAGGGTATGCTCAGCACCATCTAGCCACTCAAGACTGTACTAAAGTATGGAACTCATTACTCTCGATCTTGTCAGACCACATGGTTATTTGGGAATTACTTCATCAAGCTGAAGATATTCCCCAAAATATCCCAGGGAAGCCTGTTCCCTAAAACTGACAACGTTTTATATTTTTAAAATACATAGATTAATAAAGTTCCAGAAACATTACTTCCTCTTTTTTCAGTATTAGCATAACTAGAAGAAAATTATTTTATAAATTTCTAACATAAAATGAATGTCTCTGCGATCATCTGTAAGATTTCATCTCCACCGGAAGCAAGATCATGACAACCAAAAGTCGCTTTGACGAAACAAATCTAGAAAATGTGTGTCATTGTGACTCAACACTTCCCTTACCATTTGGCCTAACCTAATGTTTTTCGACTATAAGCTCAGCCATCTCTCTATCGAGCCATGATCTCTGTCTTATTTAGACATGATTCCTTATTTACCAAAGAAGAACAAATGGTATTTTTCTTACAAGCCTATCATTTTCATTGTCTCAGTCATTAGAGGTTTTAAGTTGTTTCAGAGTCTGACTAAACAACACTAAATGATAGATAAACGTAGGAAGATATTTCTGAATATGATGTTTCTCTGAGCAACAGTATAAATACCAAATTATTTGGCCTTCTCTCTAAAATCTGAGAGGGTTTACATTAACTATGTCTAACCATAATTGAGTTTTCAGTAAGAACCAAATTTATCTTTAAAAAAAAAAAAGAAGAAAAAAAAATACACACAGTCAGATTCACCCCAATTGGAATATAACATCTCCCAGTATTAAAATAACGATGACACCGTCACAGCGCACTAGAACTTGGGGCTGATGTAGACACTGAGGGGTAGGCAGAAACCCCCAAACACTCAAAGGTGCCATCTCCTCCATGCAACACACACAGGAGTCATTTTCTGGATTCCTTGAGCTTTTTAAAATGTATAAACCTCACATTTTCATCCCAAAATAGCACATTTCAATCATTGTAAGAGTTTACAAGAATGCACAGGCCGCCGAGTTTAATTTTTCTTGGTACCAAACTTAACTGAACTTATATTAAAGGGTTCGGCGACCCCAAATCCTTCTTCTTTGCCTCCTTTCCCATAATATTTATTATACATTCTATGCCTTAAAATGAATCTAATGACTTGTATGGACTATGGGGCTTACAGAGAAGATGGCTGGGGAACAAGACTCCTGAGTCTTACCTTGAACTGAGGATTCCAGAACCAGGATGAGGGCAAGAGCCAGGACGAGCCGACTGCATTTGAGTAGCTTCTGCATCATGACCAACTCACTCCAGCTCGCCCGGCTGCACGCCAACTTCTTGATTAGGAAATGTAGCAGGGTGCTCTCTGTCCCTTTTAGAAAAGGTTCCAAAACCTCAAACCCTGCCCAGAACACACGTCACAATTTCCTGAACAAATAGAAAGAGATCCACATCAAAACCCAGAAAGAAAGTTGGGCGGGGGGGGGGGGAAACACAGTAAAATAACTATTCATACCCATTATGAAACTGTACTGGACTCCCCCCAGGCCTGCTTTTTCAAAAGTTTTGTTGTTTGCCACTTGCCTGCCAGAAATTTTTTTTCCCTACTGAAACAGTAGAATCAGCATTTGGGACAGTTTGTTTTTCCTTTCCTTAGGTATTTTTAGTAGAGACAGGGTTTCACCTCAGGTAACAATCTAAACACGAGATTGCTAATATTGAGAATCTGCTGCATTTTTGATGAGATAAGGGAGCTAGGTGCTGCCTTTTCATCACCGAGCACTTTCAACATAAAACATTATCTTCATTTTATTTTTCACCGGGGAGTAGCATATCTCACTGAGCCAAGCTCATGAAGTGAAACTTCAAAGCTGAGCTCTAACCTTCAAGAATGAGTTGTCGGATTTCAGATGAACAGTTTCTTCTTAAACTCAGTTTCTTGCATTGGATCATCGGCTCTCTATCTCAAGAACGTATGATTTTCAGTTACAAAGACCATGGTAAAACAGAAAAATTCTTTTGCATTCCTCTCTCCTTCACACTGAGCATTTCTTATGATTGGATTCCATTTCTACTTTTATCTGTTCTCCTAGTCAAAACTTTCAACTTGAGTTTTGGGTCCTCTGGGCTTGAATAAGCCAGAAATCAGGAACGAGGGAGAGATTGTACTCACAGCGAGCTGCTGGACCTCAGCAAACAACACAAACCTCTGCCTCATGTAGATAAAGGAACAGCATTTTCCCTGGGCATCATGCAGATTTCTGGAGGACTAAGGCTCTATATTAAAGTTATACAATAAAGGTCAGGTGCTGTGGTCCACGCCTGTAATCCCAGCACTTTGGGAGGCCGAGGCAGGTGGATCACGAGGTCAGGAGATCAAGACCATCCTGGCTAACACGGTGAAACCCTGTCTCTACTAAAAATACAAAAAATTAGCCAGGCGTGGTGGCGGGCGCCTGTAGTCCCAGCTACTCGGGAGGCAGGGGTAGGAGAATTACTTGAACCTGGGAGGCAGAGGTTGCAGTGAGTTGAGATCGTGCCATTGCACTCCAGCCTGGGTGACAGAAAGAGATTCCATTTCAAAAAAATAAAAATAATATAATAAAATAAAGTTATACAATAAATACAAGCCTATCATACATCCTTGCCCTTGTGGCGTATACATTTTCCTTACTTCCTTTCAAGATTCGAACACTCTCCATTTCAACATGTCTATCCCTACCACTACCCCAGACGGCTTAATGCACATGCCCCACTCTCTATTCTCATCCTCGCCCTTGCCTGGCCTTTGATAGGAGGGAGGAGTTTCCCTTCCCTTGTTTTAGGCTTCCTGCTGATTCCTTTACCATTTCCTGCTAAGGACAGAGTCTCACAGACTAATAGTCACGGTGCAAGAACACAAAGAGTGCACATTTTGGTTCTCTTCAGAAGCCCCTCAAATCAGCCAGAAGTGTGTCCTCCAACCCAGGGGTATCTCCAAGTACAGCAACCAACCCCAAAATGCACTGTCCGGGAAAGCTTTCCACTGAGGAACGTTGGTTTCAGTTTGAAATATCAGCTGTCATCTTTGGTCCTTTTTAATCTAACTCCCAATTGAAAACCCTGGCACCAAAACAATAGTTCCCATCAATAACTTTGATGAGTTTCCTACAAATCCCCAGAGCTGATTAGGGCTTGTGCTTTAAAATGGTAATTTTAGGGGCTTTTTCCATTTGGGAACTTCATTGTTTTTTTTTTGTTGTTTTCTTTCTTTCTTTCTTTCTTTCTTTCTTTCTTTCTTTCTTTCTTTCTTTCTTTCTTTCTTTCTTTCTTTCTTTCTCTGGGTCATGGTGGTGGTGGTGTTTGTTTTTTATTTTTTTTCCCTCTCTCTCTCTCTCTCTGTCGCTTAGGCTGGACCTCCACCTCCTGGGTTCAAGCAAGCAGGTTTGGCTAATTTTCTTTCTTTCCTTCTTTCTTTCTTTCTTTCTTTCTTTCTTTCTTTCTTTCTTTCTTTCTTTCTTTCTTTCTTTCTTTCTTTTCTTTCTTTCTTTCTTTCTTTCTTTCTTTTTTTTTTGTTGTTGTAGAGATGGGTTTTTTTTCAGGTTGGCCAAGCTGACCTCGAACTACTGACCTCAAGTGATCCACCTGTCTCAGCCTTCCAAAGTGCTGGGATTACAGACGTGAGCCACAATGCCCAGCTCATGGTGACTTTTAAAGCACAGGTGCAGTATTCATAAGCATTTGCTCTTCATAAGCATTCAGCGTAGCGTACCACTACGCTGATAATCAAGTTTCTTTTTCCAAGAAGTCCTCCAGTTTCATTTCCCTAGCCCTACTTCAAGCTGTAGGGGAGCAGGACACATGCTGCAGCAGCTGGAAGTCCTGGGTCCAAGCCCATGTCCGTCACTTACCAGCTGAGCCACGCTGGGCCACTCACTCTTTATGCGTCTCTTGTTCCAGTTGTAATGATGGTGTGGGAAGCCAACAAGAGGATGTCCTCAGGAGCACATGGCATACGCAGTGAGGGAAGCGTTGGCAACAGTCCTCAGGGCTGGGCACGATCTTACCCAAAGATTCCACTATTAACCCAATAGGACCCATATCTTTCCCTAAAATTCAATCTACGATATGCATGTTTTCCACAATTTTAAAAGACAAACCCTATATCAGACTTAATCCTTCTTTTACCAGGCAACCTGAAATGCACCTACTTTACTTCACACACAGTTGATTTGGCCATAAAATGAGTATTCTTATTCCTTCACAGTCACCTGGAACATGACAGAAATCAATTCCTGTTATTTAATAAAGTAACAGGTCACCGGCAGGGCAGGGTGGCTCACACGAGCACTTTGGGAGGCCAAGGCAGGTGGATCACCTAAGGTCAGGAGTTTGAGACTAGCCTGGACAACATGGTGAAACCCTGTCTCTACTAAAAATACAAAAACATTATCTGGACATGGTGGCAGGCACCTCTAATACCAGCTATTCAGGAGGCTGAGGCAGGAGAATCGCTTGAAACTGGGCAGCAGAGTTTGCAGTAAGCAGAGATCGTGCCACTGCACTCCAGCCTGGGCAACAGAGCAAGACTCCATCTCAAAAAAAGAAAAAAAAAAAGATAAATTGAGGTTATGAGAAGAGATACTGAAGGCAGCATGAAACTGCACAGAAGGGCAGCTCCAAGGCTTATTTCTTTTTTAAAGCTCCAGGTTAAAGATTCCGCCACTAGCAGCCTCTAGGCCTTTTGCTTGCCTCTTCATTGAGAGGGTCTTGACTCTGAACTGGGCACTGCACCAAAAAAAAAAAAAAAAAAAAACCACCAAAAACCAGTAAATAGATACTGCACCAAATCTGTATGTTTCATGCAAGGATGGCCCTTGCATGAATTTTTGATTTCTAGAACTAGAAGGGACCTTGCAAATCATCTAGTTCCCTCACTCAGGTGAGAAAAATGCCAAGTCCGGAAAGGTTAAATGATTTGCCCCTGCTCACACTGTAAGCAAGTGGCAAACCAGGGTTAGAACTCAAGCTTCCTAATCCGTGCCCCCGGATAGATGAGGAATGAAAGGGAAACAAGATTAAGATTTGTAAATAATCAAAAGTCCTTTTTGTTATTTTCTTGTAGAGGTACATGCTAAACATTGCTGTTTAGCATGATAAAATGACTAGGATTTGCTTCTAAATAATCCAGTTTGAGGGGGATGGGAAGGGTATAGTGGTGGTTTGATAACTGCTGAAGTTGAGCAATGAGTAAATGAAGGTTCATTCTACTATCCTCCCTACTTTAATATATTTTTGAGAATTTTCATAATAAGCCAGCACAGTTGCCCACATTCGTAATCCCAGCATTTTGGGAGGCCAAGGTTTGCAGATCACTTGAGCTCAGGAGTTTGAAATCAGCCTGGGCAACATGGCAAGACCCCAACTCTATGAAAAACACCCAAATCATCTGGGCATGGTGGCTTATGCTTGTAGTCCCAGTTACTTGGGAGGCTGAGTTGGGAGGCTCGCTTGAGCCAGAGAGGTGGAGGTCGCAGTGAGTCAGATCATGCCACTGTACTGTAGCCTGAGTGACAAAGCCAGACTTCTCTCAAAAAAATTTGTTTTCCATAAAACTTCTAAAAAATTATCATTTAAAAAAGATATCTTCATTTTATTTAGAGTCCATATAAATGAGAAAACATCTGATTTTTAAAAAGATGTTACAGAAAAAAAGGCATATTTTTTTTAAAGTGACTCATTTTTTCATGGATCTCAGGCAACTTTGAGTTTCCTATTATTTTGATTCTACTTCCATTCCCACCCTCAATCATTTAGGCGACAGGGAGACTATGGCCAAGACAAAAAAAAAATCGTCGTTCTTTTTTCTTAAGACAAAGTCTTGCTATGTTGCTCAGGCCGCAATCAAATGCCAAGGCTCAAGCAATTCTCCTGCCTCGGCCACCCAGGTAGCTGGGACTACAGGCACATGCCACGCAGGAAATTATCTTGATGCTTCTCGTCCCAAGGGAGCAGCTCTCATTGTGTCCTTGGTCTCCTTACTGAGTAACAATGGAGGGGTGCCCTGGGAGAGGGCATAGGCTCAAAGGCATCCCTGGCAGGACCATGTAACTCCTTCTCCAACTCCTCCCTTCTCATCACTTAGCTACACATCTATTAATGTTAGTTTCCCATGGCCTGGTGTGGTGGCTCACGTCTGTAATCCCAGCATTTTGGGAGGCTGAGGCAGACAGATGACTTGAGGTCAAGAGTTCGAGACCAGCCTGGCCAACATGGTGAAACCCCTTCTCTACCAAAAA